GGGAGTGGGTGTGGGTGGGTGTGGGTGTGGGTGGGTGGTGTGGGTGAGGTGTGGGTGTGGGATGTGGGTGGGTGTGTGAGTGTGGGGCGTGGGTGTGGGTGTGTGTGCGGGCGTGGGTGTGGGTGTGGGTGTGTGTGCGGGGCGTGGGTGTGGGTGTGGATGTGGGTGTGGATGTGGGTGTGGATGTGGGTGTGGGTTTGGATGTGGAGTAAAAATGTGAGTGCAAATTTTCTTTTACAGTTAACTACATCCAAAACCACCGGCACCCGCACCCACACGCTCACCCACACGCCACCCCACTCACACCCCTGAATGGCAGCGTTTATTTCAGGCGATGATAAAGCCCATGGCGCATATATGCGTCGTCGGTAACGAAAGGGTTAATTTTACTAAATTCGAAGATATTGATATACGATCATATCTTAACCCTTTACCTCCTGAAGCGGTCCCAGAATAGTCACTGATAAAATCATCACTGAAATAGAGTATTGTCCTGCTCAATATGCCAATGATGTGGGCAGATCGATCTGGCGCACAACCTTTTGTGCGGGGTAATTTGCTAACTACACCGACCATTGAGACAAAGGATGGGATGAAGCGACTTCAAAAACCCTACTTCTTTTCTTTTTTTATGGCCGTGCTAATTAGAGAAAGATATTATTTATTCCTTTTCATTTGACTAATATCAAAAGAAGAAAAGCTAGATATATATACAAAGTTATTTTTAAACATCAGATGTATTTTTCAGTGATTTTTTAGCAATCCACATTTTTCTTCAAGTAATTTATAAGATCAATGAAGACATTTAATGGATGATAAATATTTTTTGACTATTAATGTGATAAGATTTACAAATAATATATTGATAATATGCGTCATTGCCCTCTTCCTCTTCAAGAGTCGTTTCAGGATCCATTTTGTGTCTAACCATTCTTTATCTGCCAAGGTATTGTGAAGTTTTTGAAACGGATTTAGTTCAATGTTAGGCATTTTTCGTTAATATAGATCATACAACGCTTCCCCAAAATCTCTATTGCTTGTCAACGAAAACACATTTTGTGTTTAAAATTTCGTTGTTTCAATTTTTTCCAAAGTTCTCGACTGTGCAATTCGTATATATCGAAGAAAGATCAACGAAACAAATATTTTTTTACCAATCGATAGCTTATGGAGTTTACTGCAAATTTTGTCTTGAGAGTTTTTCAGTCTCATGCTTTCCTTATTTTCTGGAAATCCTCTACAAATGATTCAAAAATGACCCAACAGGAGAGTAAAGGGATGTGTGATCTTCATAATGAACTCGACAAACAGCACGATACTGAAGAAGAAAAAAAGAAGATCTCTCTTGTACCGTAGCCAACGTATGTCAATACTTCTAAAAACCTATGCAGAACGAACATATTGGAAGAAAAATAATCTATTGTAATGTGGGACAGGAACAGGATGCATTCAAGAAACTTTCATAAACTGTATTTGATAGATAAAATAGAAATAAAAAAAAATCAGAATTTTAAAGCAAATTGAAGAAGAATCAGAACATTTTTGAAAAAACAGAAACTTCGGCAAGTCTATACGTTAGTCCATGATTCATATGGAGGAAAAAGTTAATTAGGAGGAAGTACATTTTGTGGAAACGCTCCTAACATATTCCCAGCTGGACTGTAATTTGCGACCACGAACACCTTTCGACCTCCATCTGCAAATGCAATGCCGACTCCAAGCTTTTTTGTACCTTTCCAGACGACCTGAGTGAAATGACCCGTCTCCATTGAAAAGTTCGGATTGTTGAAATCGTAGTGCTTGATTTCGTCATACCACGCCTGAGTAGCTTTTCGGCCTAATAAATACAAAAGATCGAAAGCAAAAATAAACTTTTAGTGCCTCACCATGATCGTCATGAATTTGACGTTGTGAACTCCACGATGAGTGCAAATTTTCCCCGAGTCCTTTTCGATCCGTACTATGCTGGAATAGATTGTTCTTTGCCAAATATTCAGCATAGGCTTGTGCCTTGTGACTGATCGCATCATCGAGGACGAGCCCATGCACACCGTGCTGGTGTCGCAACGAATTGTGAAGCTTCAACGCATTCAACTGACATGCACTTTGCGCCGCTGTAAATCCGGCACGAACTTCGTTTGATGACTCTGATTCTGGTTTCTCCTCGTCTATACTTTGATCATTGTCTTGCTCCTTCCTCCAGCTCTCGTTTCCATCAACGGTTGTCTGTCCACCATCGTTGAACTGCCACTTTATTCTTCCACCTTCCTGGTTCATAAAATCATTGAGATGGGACTGAAAACAGTTCGACGAGTCACCGAAACTCT